TGAAAAATCTTTTGTTACAAATTACCTAGAGATGCTGGGTAAAATATAAACAATAGCACAGAAATTTAAATGCATAGCTGAATTCACAGAAACCAAAGGTAAATCCCAGATGCAAGAAATGGAAAAGAGGATGGAAAATCAGAGGGTTAGGTAGGTAAACCTTTTAGGGGTCATTATCAGAGCTGATAAGGGGCATAGCTTTTAATCCCTTTATGGGACTGGAGGCCAAGCATTAAGCCAAAATAAAGTGAGGATTTGGAAAAGAGACCGTTTTTTGCTCCTTCAGTAAAGGGTGAACAAGAAAAAAAATTCATCCATTGGCACAGAGAAGGGAAGCAGGACTGAAACCCCTTGGCTTTGGGTTTTTCGTTTTAAAAAGTTGAAACCTCAGGCCTATATTTCATTATGAACTTTGGAAAACAGAATTTGAACTACCTGCCTGTTGGAGAGCTCCCATTAACTAAGAAATTAATGTAAAATCAGTCCTCCAGTCATTTTTACCCTTGAGACACCTAGAAGGTGCAAATACAAAGGGCTCTGGGAAGACTCCACAACCCAGGCCTTGTGGGACCCCCAGAGAAATGAGCCACACCAAATAGGCGCTCATGTAGAAATAACAAGACCATGAGAAAACAGTACGTCATGCCTCAAGGTGAGACAGCAGAGGAGAGGAGGAAGTAGAGCTGTATGAATTTAAAATAACAGAAGTCTCAAAGATAATATAAAGGAAGTGTTTTAATTAAACTCATAAAAAGAATGGAGACTCTTAGAACAAGTTTTAGGTCCATTAATTTATATATAAGGATTGTAAAAATTCCAGTGTTGTTATTAGTACCCTGATTATCTTACTCATTTTTGCTTTTTTAAACCTACCTTTTCCAGAATGTAAATGGAACCTAAATATTCACACACAGCGTTCTTTGCAGTATTTCAGCTGAGCTCTTGAAAATGCTATTATTGACCTTTACATTCAGGCTTAACTAGTTGGCTCTGCACTCTTCTCTTGCAAGAACTGTACCGGGCCATCTGGTTAATCATCTTAATAAGAAAAAGCCTTATACAATAATTTCACATACCAAAGACATTCTCACTTCTACTTTCTGAAACTAACCAGGCTTTTAAACTAACATTAAATGTTAAACCAATCAATACTTAAAAAATAAATGTTATAGGATGGGAGAATGCAAATATGCATTAAAATGTATACCTGTTTTAAAGTAGCAATATGAGGATTAACCAGGGGCTGCAATCAGTATTTGTAGGAATATCGAAGCATTAAAAACATTAGACAATAAAGATTTGTGTTTTGGAATTGTGCCTTTTGGGTTTCCTGTAGTATTTTAAAAATAGGTAGATATAGAATACTAATCCACCTTGTTCTTTATAGAATTATAATAACTATCCTCTGTTACCAGATTTACAAAAACTATAGCACCCACATGATTAAATCTCATTTCAAATATGAGAATGGTAGTAGTTCTGCTACTACACTAACCATTAAGATAATGCCCTGTTATTTTATTTATTCAAGTTCCTTTGTCATTTCTCTCCTTCCATCTACCTGTATGTTTTAGATACATTTAAATTAAGAAAAGAGAGACAGTTCAGTTTTATCATTGATCACGAACTATTGGTTAGTTGGAAGCCAAAATATTACCTTTTCTTGCTATGGAGGTATAATTGGTATAATGTTATATTTAAGTTTCAGGTGTACAACATAGTAATTCCATATTTGTGTATAAAACATAAAATACTAACTTCTAAAGTAAACTTGAATAGGCTTCTTATAAAAACAATACATGTGCACTTTGTACTTTTATGTATTTTTTTAATTCCTCAAAATTAAAAGTCAGGATAAAAGTATATATCTGTTTTAAGGGTAAAAGAATTCATAAAATAGCAGTTTTTTACAATTAAAATGTGTAGACTTAAACTAGGAAAAAAAGGCAAGGAATCTTTAGAAATGAAAAATTTATTATGTGGAACTATTAAAGATGATCAAGGACATTTTTTTAGATGCATCTGATATTTATGGTGTTTTGTTTTTTTAGCTGAAATCCGAAAGCTTTAACAACAGCTCTTTTTTTAGAGAGAGAGAGAACGTGCGTGCGCAAGGCGGTGGGTGGGGCAGAGGGCAAGAGAGACAAGCAGACTCCACACTGAGCGTGGGGCTCAGTCACATGACCCTGAAATCATGACCTGAGCCGAAATCAAGAGTCGGACGCTAAACCGACTGAGCCACCCAGGCGCCCCTAACAGCAGCTCTAGAACCTCCATCCTTGCGGGTTTAGTGCCCTCCCTTCCACTTACTTGATCTCTCACCTTTCAGAGCCTTGGTATCCTCATGTGATAAACATTGATAGTAGCACTTTCTCATAGGATTATCGGTGCATGTTCATTAACACAGAGAAAGCCCATTGCTTTTCAACAAAGCATGTTGGGTATACTTTTCTTTGTAATTCAGATTATATCAACCCATGCCCAGTTGTTAGTAGGAATAAAGGTTTTTTTCTGAGAATCTCAGCCAATCAAATAAATTGGAATTGTTGTTTGTAGTATAAACTACAAATGATTATAGAGAATTCCAACCTAATGAAATATTCAGGGGAATTGAAAAGCTTTTCAAACTCAGTTTTACTTGTAAATTGCTTAAGAAATCTTTAAAAGTATTTTTTGTTTTCTGTGTGTGGGGTTTTTCTTTTTAATAAAAATGTCCCTCGACTGCAAGTTTTGCTCACTCTTTAATTGTTGGTATTCTCCAAGGTTCTGTCATCTGCCTGAGGTGACGCTTCTATTTACTTCCTCGACCGGCTCTTAAACCTATGTGATTATCTCCAGATAATTGTCTTCAACGCCTTCTTCTCTTTGAGTTTCCTTATTTCTGGTTGCTTCCTAGACATTTCTATGCACGTCTCCCAGGATGTCTCCAACTCTCCACATACAAACATAATTCTCTCCCGTCTTTTCCTCACCCGTTACCTGCTTTTCTCTTAGTCTCAGTGAATAGCATTCCCATCACTGTCCAGCCAGTCATCGAAACCAGACCTCAGTCATCCCGACCTCTCTCCCTCATCCCTCACTTTCAACAGGGCGCCAGGCAATATTGGCTTTGCCTCCTGAATATCTTTATATAGCGCTTTTCTCCTCCCCAACTCCCACTGCAGCAGCTAGACCCTTATCTCCCCCCAAGGCCATTGCACCGAGCCTTCTAACTGGTCTCTCTGCCTCCCTACTTGCCACCCCTCCACCCCCCCACCCCCCCCAGCTATCCAGTACCGTTGTCACAGTGGTAGTCCTAAAGCCCTCACATGTTTAGGAACTTTTAGCTCCCCAGTGTATATATAACGTACAGCCTCCCTAGAGAGACAGACAAGACCCTTCACAATCTGGATACTCCTCTTTATCGAAAATTTCTCTTCAGTGTCATTTTTTTTAATTGGATTATAGTTAATACAATGTTACATTAGTTTTGGGTGTAAAACATAGTGATTTAACAAGTCTGTATTTTACGCTCACCACAGGTGTAGCTGCCATCTGTCCCCATACAACACTCTTTCAGTGCCACTGACTAGATTGCCTGTGCTGTCTTTTATCCCCATGACTTACTCATTCTGTAACTGGAAGCCTGTATCTCCCACCCCACTTCACTTTTTTGCCCATTCCCCCACTCCCCTCCCCTCTGGCAGCCACCAGTTTGTTCTCTGTACTTATGAGTCTCTTTCTTATAAATATCAGTCTGTTTCAGCGTTTTGTTTGTTTGTTTAACATACCCCATATCTGCTTTACCCATTCATCTGTTGATGCACACTTAGGCTGCTTGCGTATCTTGGCCGTTATAAATAATGCTGCAATAAAGATAGGGGTGCATAAATCTTTTTGATTAGTGTTTTTGTTTTCTTTGGGTAAATACCTATTAGTGGAATTACTGGATCATATGGTAGTTCTGCGTTTACTGTTTTGAGGAAACGCCATACAGTTTTCCACAGCGGCTGCACCAGCTTACATTCCCACCAACAATGCGCAAGATCTAACCTCCTCTTCCCGTGGTTCTCCTTGCGCGCTACACTCCCATCAGCACGAATCCGTCGTAGTTCTCTGCATACAGCGTGACAGTTCTCATTTCTCGTCCTGCTTTAGTGCATGCTTCCCTTTGCCTTAAATGTGGACCCTTCCCTTCCTGTTGAATGAAGCGTTCCTGACTTGCCACCTTCCATCCCCTCCCCCCCACAACAGAGAGCTAATCAGTTTTTCCTTTGTGCTATCAGAATATTTTTATGTGCTTTCAGTGGTTTGAATTTCTTTGTCTACTTGTTAGGCTTTCCCCACCAGACTAACGTCCTAAAGAACAAGAGACTCAGGTCATTTTAGCATTTCTGGTGCCTAGCCAGTCCTTGGCATAGGGAGGCATTTAACAAAGGCATTTAGAAAATAATATGAAAAATTGTTCAGGAAATGGGGGACTTTTAGAGGGGGAAGCAGTATACTTAATGAAGGAATGAGTAGTTCTATCAAATATTTTTTTAAATGGCATGCAGGGTAAGGATTGGATTAACTTTGTATGGCTTTAGATGGTACAGGTAATGTCAGCAGAGAAGTAGACGTCTGGCTTAGCCACAGAGAAGGCAGTGAGGGTTAGAGAACAGCAGTACCATCCTGCCTTCATTTGGAGTCTGTATTGAGACAATCTGAGTTTTAGTCCTGGCTTGGTCACTAGATTTGGTGGTTTCTGGGTCTAAGTTTCTTTGTTTTTTGACAGAAAAATGGAGATAATAGTAGCTTATATGGTGGTTTTGAGGACTAGTGAAATACCATTTCGGGGTGCCTTGGCTAACATCTGGTGTTGAATAGTGCTTAATAAATGCTCGTTGGATTTGAATTAGCCTCCTGTTCCTGGATTCTCCCAGTAATACCTTACACATACCGCATTGAATATAAGTAATGTGTGTACGTAAACTGGCACCAAAAAAAAAAATATTCAATTGCCTTTTTTTCTCTTAAAGATTTATTCATTGTACTGATGATTCTCCAGATCCTTGTATAGAATATGAGGTAAGGATTTATTTTTTAAATCTTGAAATTGATAATCCTAGATGAAGATGTGTTGGAAATTGCTATCTGTTCTTAAGCAAAATGAATAAAATTTTTTGGATCAATTTCTCTGGGAACCTAGAGCCACTGAATTTTTAAATATGTAAAAAATATATGTATAAATGAATATATATACACATAGACACAGTATATACATACTATAGAATGTACGTATTTTGTAATAAAACAAATACCTTATACCCATCATCTGGCTTAAGCTGGGTAAGCTTTTTAACCTGGTATATGAAGAAAAATAATCATCCCCAGTTTTACCATTTAGGCCCCGTGGACCTTTTTATTTTTTTTTGTTGTTGTTGTTCACTCGTTTTACAAATTACATCAGAAGTTGGATTGAAAGGGTAGTGGAAAACATTTTTAGAAATAGCGATAAGAATTCAAACATAGCAAACCCAAATTTGTATTCCATATTTTCCTAGTTTGAAGGTATATCCTCCCCCCAGCCCCCCATATGCCTCCCTGAAATGGGTAGTGTTCTTGGACTCAAGTAACTACTCATCAGCTGTTATATGAGTGAACCTGATTCCAGGTTTCAGCCGCATCCCTGATGGGAGTCTTCCTTATCACTACTCCTGGTTCTTCTTGCACTTGGATCGTCAGAATGTAATACTTTTGAAAACTTTGACAGCTCATAATTTGTTGAAGAGAGTGGTCATCCTGCTCCATGATTGCAAACCATTTGCATTTTTGGATTTGTAACACCAATTAGAATTAGTCCAGTGGTCTTTTTTTAAAAAAAAAATTCTTTCTTTTAAAAAAAAAAATTCATTGTTTGCTTCATCACCTTTGTATACACATGCTTTCAAAAGTTGCCCACTGACTCTCTATATCAAGAAGTTTTTAGTGTGTTGAATGTATATTGGTATATCGTCTGTGATTATACCATGTTTGTAGAACAGTTCATTTACTATTTACCAGGCCACCAAACTGGATCTTTTAGCACTTATAATTGAGCTTTTTACGTACCAGTTGTGAAGGTTTTTTTGACTTAATAGCATAGCATGAGCATATTCCCAATCATTAAACATTTTTATAACATTCTTTATATGTATATATTATATTCATATCTGTTGTTTCATTGAACAGACATCTCTTAAACACCTGCTGTGTCTTATCACTTGGTGCTGGAAAACACAAAATGACGAAGATTATTTCTCGAGTCTTGCCATAATCTTTGTTTGAGATGTCATCTTTTATCCCCAAGATTCATTTCGCCAGCAGTTTGCTCTTTTATTGCGTTTTTGGGACTATGCCATTATCATGTTAGTGCATAGGATTTAAAACTCAGTGTTTTAAAAGCTCAGGAAAGTGATATTCTTAGAATAATTAAAATGAAAAAAAGTTGCAAGCAGAATCCTGTATAGGGTCTATTCCTTCTTTGTGTATTTAAAAAGATGTATACATGTGCTCCATGCTCATTTATTTGTAGATTACTTCTGGAAAGCTATATGAATAATTGACAGCACTGGTTACCTCTGCAGAGGAGGACAGAGGGGCTGGATAGGGTCGGGGGTGGGGTATAATTCACGTTTTACCTTTATGTGTTTTTTCAGTCAACTACACAATGTATGCGTTACCTGTCCAAAATATTATTTCAGTAAAGATTATGCAGATTTTCCAAAAAATTAATGTTAGTTTACAACAATTACTTATTTCTTTGTTGCTTAAATAAAAATTATTGTAGCCCTAAAAAAACTATATTTGCCAGTATCAGCTTTTAATAGATGACAACTGTGTACATTTTTAGTTTTTTAGTTCTTCATTTAATAATTAGGTTCTTTTTAAAAAATACAGCACATAGAAATCTTGACTAAGAGCTTACAAAATTGAAAATTGAAATCAGTGCATTTTAAAATCTTAGGCATATTTTAACAGTATAAGTTTGTTTTTTTTTAAGAAAAGCAATTTATTATCAAAAATTAAGAAGTACAAGAAAATATGAGGAACTTACCACCCACATATATCCTCAGTATTAGCATTTTGGCATTTAACTTCCCTTTCCTGAGATAAGTGTATATGTGTGTGTGTATATACACTCTCTTCATAAAAAATACCGTGCATACCATTTTTTTTCACTTACAGTGTATTTTTCCAGTTCATTAACTATTTTTTTATATCAGGATTTTTAGTGGCTGTGTATCTTATATATTGACAGTTTTGTTTTCTAACATTTTTTAAGCACCTGCTAGGTATTACATACTTGTGCTGGGAACATAAAGATAAGTAAGACCCAGTTCCTTGCCCTTGCTGAGTTGCTAGTTAGGAGGGAAGAGAGATTTGTATCAAATTATAGTACAACTTGGTATGTATGTGCATACTATAGAATGTTAGGTGCAAGAAACTGGGAGCACATGGTATGGGAAGGGAGGATACTGAGCCCACTGAAGGTTATTCCAGGAATGGGGCTTAGTGTAATTTAAGTTCCATCTCTTAGGTCTTAAAGGGCAAAGAAGTATATGCCAGCATAAGGGAGGCCGGAGGCACTGGCCACTTATTACAATTAATACTTCACAAGAGTAGGACTAGTTTTCTCCAAAGAACATTTTAAAAACAGACTCAGAAGCATAAGTTTGTCAACTATAGTATTTATAAAATTGTAGCAATTCAGTAGTATATGAGAATTTGTACATAATAATTAATTATAGTAGTAGAACCCATTTATGACTTGGGCCAGTTGTAGAATTGTTTTCCTTTTAAGTAGTGGCAAAATCATGGGAGGGTTATAGTGATTTTTAGTGATAAATTATAATAATTTTATCAGAGTATTACACAGTGGTGCTAAGGTAGATAATTACAATATCCTTTTATTTTTTGATATACCTAAAGGGGTGAAGAACATAAATAATTATGGGGCAACTATACATAATGATGATGGGATTCGACTTCATCATCCTTGGGTTTGTATATTATGTCAGAACTCTCAAAGTGATAAATAAATGACAAAGGTGCATTTTGTCATAACGAATTTTAACAGCGTTTCCCCCACTTACTAGATTAATAAATCTGTCCCCTACATTGCATGATAAGAATGGGTTATGATGCCTTTTCTTCCAAACTATTTGATATTGGCAATTATTAAAATATACTCTTGGCATAAAATTGTCTTTTAGACCAGTAAACATTCCCTTGTTACATTTTTCCTCTTTTTACAGCTTGTTCTTCGAAAATGGTGTGAATTAATTCCTGGGGCTGAGTTCCGATGTTTTGTAAAGGAAAACAAGCTTATTGGTGAGTTTTTTTACCCATTAAAAGAAGACAAGATTTTTTTTCTTTTTAAGTTTATTTATTTTGCTTTTTTTTTTTTTTAAGTAAACTCTACACCACACATGGGGCTTGAACTCACAACCCTGAGATCTAGAGTCATGTGCTACACCCACGGAGCCAGCTGGGCATCTCTAAAGTTTATTTATTTTTAGGAATTTCTGCATCCAGCGTAGGGCTCTAACTCATGACCCTGAGATCAAGAGTTGCATGCTCCTCCAACTGAGCCAGCCAGGTGCCCCAAGAAGAGAAGCTTTTGATGGAAGTGAATTTCTAGTAATTAGGTAATTAGGAGAGGGTACTAATCAGTTTTTATCTCAGATGCTACCTCTGGCCAATTGGTAGTGACTCTCTGGAATTCTATATTGATAATGCTCCTGAGGCCATATTCAATTTCCACAGAAAAGTATCTTGTGCATTAATCATGTCTGTCTGGATTCTGGAGATGAAAGTGATGGTCTTGGCCATTCCCAGTTTAGGCTATGTATCATGTTACCTGCTTTCTCTTTGGGACTTTCCTACAAATTATTAGCAACACACACTACTTATTTTAAGCATCATAAAAAGCCAAGTTTTGGGATTTTTATTTCTATTATTGGAACAGTGTTTATTATTCTAGCAAGAGGAAATATGTGGACAGATAAGTGCATTACTTAAAAAGCCACCCATTTTCTTCCTCTCAGATTATTATTTTGTTTGCTGTAATGTACTCGAGTTAAGTATTGAAGATCGTCTGCTTTTTTTTTGTCTTTGCATGTTTTCCATGCAGTAACCAAGAAAAGTGTGATTTGAATAGAATCCTGTCAGCACTATTTAAAAAAAATTTTTTTTAATTTATTATTTAAAAAAAGTTTTATTTTTTATTATTATTTTTTTTTTAGAGAGGGAAAGAGAGAGAATGTTAAGCAGGCTCCACGCCCAGCGTGGAGCCAGATGCACAGCTCAACCTCACATCACTGAGATCATGACCTGAGCTGAAACTAAGAGTCGGACGCTTAACCGACTGAGCCACCCAGGTGCCCCACATCAGCACTATTTAGTGAATGTGATGTTGACATCTGTTAACTTACCTAAAAGAAACTTGGGGTGTTTGAGTTTATCGTATTGCTAGATATTCCTGGAGAAACTGCAATACAAGTAGAGCTAAGGAAGGGAGTCATATTGGCATTGATTAAGAAATAGGGTGGAAGCCCTTCTTTCAGAGCGGAAAACTTTCCTAGGCCTAGAGCAAATTGAGGGAGTTTTTACAATAATCCCTTTAGTGTATTTGGAATAAAATCATCAAGTCACTCTGAAGAAAGGAATGTTTACTTTTCCATGGCTTGAAACATCAGGCTTGTGAAGGAAGGGTAGTATGTGTGAACAGGAAAAATAGCCTATTTCTATGAAATACAATATGAATTGGAAGACATGTGGAATATTTGAAGTTTCCCAAAGAAAAGTGGAAAAGAATACCAATTTGTAGAAAATTTGTTGGAAAAAAATCAAAGAAGAGGCAGTTGACTGTATGCAGGTTTAAAATTGCTTCTTTCATTTTTTACATTATAAACATATTTATGACTGAGTTCTTTCTAAAGTAAGAATGCATGACAATATGGAACTTAGGATATATCTATCCATATGATTGGATAACTTTTTACAGCTGGTAAGTTTTTTATCTATAAAATGCTGAATCATGTATTATGCAATATTCATCTGATTGGTCTTCTGATCTACTTTAATGGTTCTCTCAAAAAGATGTTTAAATTACATTTTGGTGTTTTTGAAAAGAATGTTATATAACAATGGATATAAAATATTTTCTTGTCAGGTATTTCTCAAAGGGACTATACACAGTACTATGATCATATTTCTAAACAAAAGGAAGAGATTTGCAGATGCATACAAGACTTTTTTAAGAAACACATACAGTACAAATTCTTGGATGAAGACTGTGAGTATTTTTTATTGACCCAGTGAAATGAAGTACATATTACTGAACCTTATTTCATGGTGGTGCAGATTTTTTTAAAAAGAATGTATTTATTTGAGAGAGAGAGAGAGTACCAGCAAGGGGAGGGGCAGAGGGAGAAACAGACTCCCCACTGAGCAGGGAGCCCGACGTGGGGCTCGACCTCAGGACCCTGAGATCATGACCTGAGCCAAAGGCAGATGCTTAACCGACTGAGCTACCCACGCACCCCAGTGGTGCAGATTTAAAACTGGATTCGAAACACTGTTTTTAAGCATTTTACTGTATTACTATTTGGTATTACTGATGGTTGGCATGTTAATTTTACCTTATTTTAATCATTTTTTAATACTGAGGCAGTTATTTCTCTTATCATTTTAGATATTCATTTCAAAGGGTTTATCTACAGAGAACAAAATGCTTGTGTTATTCAGACTAAATTAGCTCAGTTGACTGATCTACTTTTCTGGATTTTTTATTTGAATGATCAGATAGTACCAGTTACAAGGTAAACATTTTGTGACTTGTTTTTAAGAAAGTATATTGTATATGAAAGAGAGTTGATTTCTACTTGCCAAACCTGGGTTCTATGGCAGATTTGATTTTAAAAAAGATTAATCATGCCATAACCACAGCTAGATTTTATGCTTTCCTACTACAGATTTTACTGAAATCGATTATTCCTCATCAAATGAGTTAAGTGATTGATGTTTTTTTCACTAGTACATATAATTTGTATATAGTGGTGAATTCATTGAGATGATGTGTTTGGTTTGAAGTTTTAAATACAATTGACCTTTGAACAGCCCTTGTTTGAACTGCATGAATCCACTTATATGTGGATTTTTTTTCCTGATACATGCAGTATAGGACTGTAAATATATTTTCCTTATGACTTTACTAATATTTTCTTTTCTCTACTTTTATTGTAAGAATACAGTATATAATACACAAAATATGTGTTAATCGACTGTTTATGTTATTGGTAGGGATTTGGGTCAACAGTAGGTTGTTAGTAGTTAAGTTTCAGGGAAGTCAAAACTTAAACATGGATTTTCCAACTCTGCAGGGAAGTCAGCATCCCTAACCCCTGCATTGGTTAAGGATCAACTGTGTAAAGGATTATGGCTGAGGGTAGAGAAAAGGAAAACAAAATCATATACATAAAATATTGTAGGCTACCTTATCATTTTTAAAAATTTTGAGATTTAGAAGCATGAAGTTCTCAAGGTACTTACATTCTGCTATTTGAGTAACTAATAATATTAATTTTAATTTTCAAAAGGAGGCTTAGATCATGAAAATAGTAGCTCATTGTTAACTTTGAGTTTTTTCTCCTTCACAGTTGTGTTCGATATATATAGAGACAGTAGGGTAAGTAACAATTATCTGATATGTTTTAAAATCAGGGCTTATAGAGTGTATAGCCATTATGTATGTGAGGGCCCACTGCTTAAAAAGTACTTTCTCAAACCAGCTAAGGTGTTTGAAAGTCACAGTGGTCAAGAATCTCCCTTAACATATACTTAACATTGGGAGACATATCTTCAATAGTTTTGTAGATTGGGGTTTATTAATTTAACAGATGGCTAAATGGCTACTTTATGTCCTGCCTTTCCACTTTTGTCAGGGGTCTGGGCCTGCTTAAAATAGTTCAGTTTGCACACTTAAGTGTGGCCAGGAGTTTGTCTTTTGATATTTAGATAATTATTTTTAGTCAACTAAAAGATCTTTAGCACGATTGGAATCACTGTTATCTTTGGACTGAAGATGAGGATTCGCTTATTCTTTAAATCTTACAAGTGATGGAAACTTGTGTAATGAAAAAGAGAACAAAAACCTGACTTCATTAATCCTAAAGCAGAGGTTTCATTATCAAGACGTGCAATCTTTTAAAAAAAATTTGGGTCACTAAATGTCCTGTGATTAGTGCTTCTTGACTTAGCTGTTGAGAAGACGGCAGGTGTGTTTTCAGAATATGTGACAATGTTTCCCAAATGTTACCCACGTATTTCTCATTCCCTCTCCAAGCTCATATCAGCCTCACTCTTGTGATACCTTTGAATCATTTTTTGGACAAAAGGATATGGCCCATATGGTCATGTCCCAAAATAACTGTTAACTGTTGACTTGCCTCTTTTTAGCCAAAAGACATCACTTACTCTGTTTTCACCTCTATGTCTTCAAGGGTGAGAGTGTCTTTTAAGAGCTAGAAAGAGGAGTTATAAATTGAGATGTGGTAAGGAAGAGGGATGTTACTTTGCACTTTCAGTCTAGTGGAAACAAACCTTAGAGAAAGGATGGGAAGCTGGTGTGATGGAATGGATAGAAACCGGAGCTGATCGACAGGAGCCCAGGCTCTCGTCTCCGCTCTGCTTCTAACCGATAGACACTGGCCACATCAGTCACTCACACAGCCAGCATTTATAGGGAGCCCGTCCTGTCAGATGCCATGCTTCTACCAAAAAGCTTTCAACAAGATGGTCTCCTGACCTACAAGGAGCTTATCTTCGAGACTTAAACGTTCCAGGGAATTGGCCTGGTTGTAAGTGGAATCAAATCAGCCAATTAGTGAGTGAGTAAACCTAGCTTGTTACCCTAATATGCAGCTCAGAAGAACTTTATTTGTATTTAACTCAGGTTATCCATCTAACCTTGTGAGGTATGTGTTATTCTCATTTTATAGATATTAAAACTGAAGCAGTTATATTTTAATGCAATTATATTTAATGGCATTTAAAAATTTGGAATTTGCCAGGGTCTCTCAATATTTCCCTGAAAAATGTCCAGATCTGCTTTGATTCACTATTGCTGGCAGGTCAGTGCAAATGTGTAGTTTGGTGAAAGAGTTACATAAATGCCTTAAGTGAAGTTGGACATGTACAGAAGTAATTACTGCTATGATCTAACAGAACTGAAAGTAGTTGCATGTTTTTAAAGTGAGAAACATGCCAGTATAAGCATGCTGACAGTTTCTGAGAAGCGATTTAAACCATGATGTAAAACACATTGTATTTTCTTGGTGGCACTTGTATCAGTGTTTGTTAGGTACTTTGTTGAATATATGGTTTTATGACTATTGTAGAAAACAAACTCTTATGGTGGCCTCTCATATGCAATGGAACTGAAGTATGTTTGAATTTGGATATATTTTGATGTGTCTACTTTTCTTACTGCAGCTGGGCAAGTTGACTCAGTGTTGATAGATTCTAACTATCACATATGTCAGAGACGGCCCATACACTCAGTAGGTCTGGGAGGAAGCCTTGGTATATGTATTTTAAGGAGCTCCTTAAGTGAAGACAACACATAACTAGAATTTAGAATAAGAGACTTGAAAATTATTAGTCTCCTTATGTATTCTTTTAGTGATGGCTGTTGTTGTGTTACTAATTTCATTGCTCTAAGGAGTAAACATGTCTGATCTTGAGTCTTTGATATTGTTGAGATTGGCTTTGTAACTTGGCCACTTTTTTGTGACTGTTCTATGTGTGTTTGAAAAATTGCAACTAATGTGTGAAGTATTCTGTAGATGTTTGTTAGATTAACCTTGGTAATAATAATTGTGAAAATCTTTTTGTATCTTATGAATGAAATGATGTCTGAGGAGACCTTCAAAATAATACAGGTTTGAAAGGAATGGATGGAATATAGATGTAATAAGATTGGCTATGGGGTTCAACAAGATAATTGTTGAAACTGAGTGATAGGTATTTGGGGTTCTTTATATTTTGTCTGCTTTGTATATGTTTAAACTTTTCCATATAAAAATTTTTTTTAACTCTAAAAACCACAAAAAAATCTGTATCTTCCCTAATTTTTGGTCTACTTAATTTATCAATTATTGAACAGGGTATGTTAAAATGTAAAATCTCCCGCTTTTGAATTCTGTCAGTTTTTGTGTTACATACTTGAGGTTATGGTCTTAGACAAGAACATATGTTCATAATGGTTTTGTTTTCCCAGTGAATTCTTATCACTAGGGAGTGACCATCTCTATCTCTAAGAATGCTTTTGTGGTTTTTGCATTAAAGTATGTTTTGTCTGGTATTAATAGTGTTACTACAGTTTTCTTTTGGTTTTAGAATTTACCTTTTTCATTCCTTTTGTTTTTAGCTGTTAGGTTTTAGGTGTGTGCATGTATCTTGTAAGTGGCATATTGCTGGGTTTTACAATTTCTGGTTTTAACAGTGAGTGTAGTTTGCATATACTATTGTATTTGATATCTGAATGTTTTACACCTTTTTTTTTTAAAGATTTTTTTAAAATTTATTCATCTGAGAGACAGAGACAGAGAGAGCACAAGCAGGGGGAGAGGCAGAGGGAGAGGGAGAAGCAGAGTCCCCGCCGAGCTGGGAGCCTGACATGGGGCTCAGTCCCAGGACCTGGAGATCATAACCCTAGCTGAAGGCAGATGCCCAACCAGCTCAGCCACCCAGGGGCCCCTGTTTTACACCATATTATCTTGAGTTTACAATTTGCTTTTCTATGTTTTTGTTTTCTCCTTTCATTTATATTACTGGTTTTTCTTTATTCTTTCCACTCTACCCTTCCCCCCCACTTAAATCTTTTATCATTAAATCTTAATGTGGCTACTTAATAAGTTCAAAAGTTAATCTCACTTCCTGTTGCCCTCATGATACAAGGACCTTAGAACAAATTCTCAGTGCATGTGATTTCTGATTTTTAGTTCTACTTTGTATTTAATATCCTTAAATTAGTCATGACTGTTGACTTTCACTTTCTTTGCTTACCAGTGCTTCTTACCACTGCTTTTTTGATCCAGTTTCTCTTTAGTAGTATATCCTTTAGTAGAAATTCCCTCAGCCATTGGCTGGAAAATTTGTTTAGTAGCTTTCAGGTATGGATGACAGGCTTAGCTGGGTATAGAATTTTTGGTTGACCAGTTCTGTTGTCTCAGCATATCGAAGACACTGCTCCTTTGTTGTTGGCGGGTTTTTTTTCCTTTTCTTTTGTCTTTTTTGAATACTTCCTAAATCTAAGAATTCGTTTCCTTTGTCAGTTGTGAAGAACTCTCAGCTATCTTTTCAAATGTTACCTCTTTCTTTCTGTCTTCTGTCCTTTGGAAATCTGTTTAGAAGAATGTTAGCACATCTCATTTTATCTTCATGTGTCTCAACTTCTTGTTTTCCACCTCCTTTCTTTCCTGTACTGTGTTGTGTAATTTTCTCAGCTATATCTTCTGGTTCACTAGTTCTCTTTCAGCGGTGTCCGATTGGATACATTTAACCTTTCACTAAATTTAAGTTGTATTAGCTATATTTTTTTATATCTGTAGGTTCCATTTGGTAATTTCAGTTCTTTGTATTCTTTTTTTCATAGTATCTTATGTTTTAGTGTTTTCATTTATTTTCAATCATTTTTTAAAAAAATTTATTTTAGAGGCAGTGTGCACACACACAAGTAGGGGGAAGGGGCAGGAGGAGAGGGAGAACAAGAACCCCAAGTAGACTTCCTGCTGAGCACAGAGCCAGATGTGGGGCCCGATCCCATGACCCTGAGATCATGACATGAGCTGAAATCAAGTGCCAGACACCCAACTGACTGAGCCACCCAGGTGTCCCTATATTTTCAGTCATTTAAAACTACTAAATTTTTTTGGTCAGAGTTTTTGAGAAATCATTTACCCAGAGTAAAATTAATCCTTTTTAGGGTACAGTTCTATGAGTTTTGACAAATACATCCAGTTGTATAACCACTACTACAAGGAACATGTAAAACTCCATCACTGCCACAAATTTCCTCATGACCCTACCTGCACTCTAGTCCCTGGCAAACACTGCTCTGTAAAACCTACTGAGTTTTAAACTTTTTAGTTGAGAATATATTCACATTGCTCAAAAATTAAATCAATGTGAAAATACATGTAGAAAGTCTTGCTCTTAACCTGTGTTCCTCTATACTCCTACAGGTATACTTTTATTAGTTTTTTATATATCCTTCCCGTATTTCTTGACGCAAAAACAAGCAATATGCTTGTCCTTTTCCATCTTTCATACACAAGAGTTAGTATATGATATATACTCTGCACTTTGCTTTATATACATTTGTCTAAAACATTGTATTTTTGGAGAGCTTTCTAGTTTCTTACAATGCTATAGTACAATGCTATAGTATTTAGTTTTGTGGATATACTATATAGTTTGTTTAGCCATTTTCCTATCAATGAACACATAGCTTATTTCTAGTCTTTTACAGACTGTGCTGTGAACAGTTCTGTATACATGGCAGTGTGTGTGTGTGTGTGTGTGTGTGTGTGTGTGTATGTATCCTGGCCTGAGCTCTTTGAAGGAATAGATTTTGTGTTGTTGGGCTTTATGCTTCAATGCCTGGTAAGTGTTTGGTGCATAGAGATTTCTTTGGACAGGTAGTGGGGTGGTTAGTTGTTAGGTATTAGGAAGGTCACTGTGCCCACTCTTCTCTGATGGATGGCCTAAAAACAGAATTTCTCAGGATGTCTTGTGCCTGAGATGTTACATAAAAAACATGTTAGAGATATAAAATCCTCATCTTGATAGTTTCCTGTCTGATTATAGCTGGTTTCTTTTTCCTTTGTAAACTAGAGGATGCCTTCTGAACTACAGAACAAACTCTGCCAGCTATCAGTCCCAACAGTGGTGATCTGTTTTTGTTTTGCTTGTTTTTTATAGTATGGCATATTTTTAGTTTATAGAGCTCAGTATTCCTCTACTAACAAGTTTGATAGGGTTTCCCTCCCCCCCTTTTAATAAAGAGGTGGTTTTATTGGTTATAAAAACTCTAGTAGAAAGGGTTTGGAGGTTAGAAAATACCATTTTGTTAAAGTAACATACAACATGTTAAAGACATCTTAGTAATCACCCTAAAGCAAAGCTAACGTCACACAAAGAATTGATTAATGGCTGACATTATTTCACACAAACACTGTACAAGTGGTTGTGGAATCTGTGTCAGAAAACAGCTCAGGTGGCAAGAGTTACAGGCTTTCTCCTGGGGTGGGGGTAGTATATAATAGGCAACCTACCAAAAAAATATGTGGTCCAAACTTCCTATAACGGTTTTTGGCTACTTACTAGATGTTTCTGATGTTTGAAGTTAGTCCTAGTAAGATGTTTCATCTTTCTTAAAATTGTCTTTTAACCCAGATGAGAAGCAGTGCTAGAGATTAATAATGCTGGCTCAGCGGCCTAGTTCCTTCGGTGGATATAATTTTATACACTGAAATCTGATCAAGACATTACATATTTACCCAAAAAACTAATTATCAACAGCAAAACGGTGTAATTTTATGAATGTTTCAGGGAGGAAAATCAAGAGGAGCAAAGATAAAAGTTTCAAGGAAACATTTACTAAATGTCTCATGTATCTTTGTGATCAAATATGGCTTTAATCTCTTGGCAGGATTTCACAGATTCCCCAGGTCTGTTGTATCAGTGCTCTGCTGCTTTATGTACTAAGATGCACCTGATTCTAATCAAACTCAGTATAACTAGGTCAGAAGTATTCTTTCCCTGAGTCTAGAACCTATCAGATTGCCCACCAGTACTCAGAAGAGAAGATAGAAATTTCTTTTAAAGGTTGATATTTTTCATTTCCCCTTCAAGTGCCACAAGCTCTATCATACAGACAAAGCAAATATTACATTAGGATTAAAGAAAACTGAGAATTTTCCTACGTTTTTCGTGTGTGTGTGTGTGTGTGTGTGTGTGTGTGTTTTAAGCCCCCTTTTCATCAGCCTCTCAAGGGTAAGGAAGGTGCCCTCAGATCTGCTGGCTCTTCCCTGCCTCCACCTGGCTTCCTCAGGTGAGATAATTGCAGACATCCTTGAAAGCATTCCAGTCATGCTATTTTGGTGGAATCATTCCCGTGAGATTGTCCTTTCTCCTGCTTGGATTTTTGACTTAGAATTCTTGTGTGATTTTAGGCAGGAGATGGCATATCTGCCTTTGTCAGGGCTTTTCTTTCCTCGATCCCTTCTCTGCGTTCATTGGCAGACTTCCCTCTGGATCTGGCACTCCTTTCTTTAGACAAGTGATCCTTTCTCACCTGGGACCTGGAGGAACTGTCTTCTGAAATAAATTACAAGATTTTTCAGATTATTGTCTGGGTAAAATAATATGAAGATGATCTTTTTGGATAAGACAGATGACAGACTTGTTTGTTTTTATTCTGTGCTTACTAATTTTTCTGTCTGTACTCTAGGGGAAGGTGTGGCTGATTGATTTTAATCCGTTTGGTGAAGTAACTGATTCACTGCTGTTTACTTGGGAAGAACTGATATCTGGAAGAAACTTAAAAGGTGATTTTAGTGAAGGAGATGCTCTCGAGCAGGTAAGAGGATAAAAAAGGATTACAGGAAACCTTGTAATCCATTAAATAATTGCTCGCTTGTTCTTTAGGAACTAACACAGATTTACTAATAGATAACTAGCTCATGGAGGTGACCAAAAAGAGTGTGTGCATTGTGATTCACCTGGAAGAATCTTTTTTTTCTTAAGATTTTATTTATTTATTTGTCAGAGAGAGCACAAGCTGGGGGAGTGGCAGGCAAAGGGAGAGGGAGAAGCAGGCTCCCCGCTGAGAAGGCAGCCCGATGTGGGGCTTGATCCCAGGACCCATGACCTGAGCTGAAGGCAGTCACTTAACCTACTGAGCCACCCAGGTGCCCTCACCTGGAAGAATCTTGACCCTGGGTCAGTTCATATGTTGACTCTGATCCTATCCCCAGGCTCCTGACCCCTGAGAGAGGAAAACTGTACAGGTGCCCAGCCTGGGGTCTCATCATAGTCATAGTCCTAGTCATGACCCCATCAGGGGGACCCTCCTGCAGTGTTTGCCTCACCAGCTTTCTCTTCCACCCACAGTGGCCTTCCACGCCTCTGTGTAACCCCTCACAGCTCCTTGCCTGTTACCCCTTTCCTCCCCTCAGCAGATGATGCCACATCCTTCTTCACAGGAAGAGAATCTTCTGGTGCAAAATGACTTCGTGTAATCGTCCTCAAACCTATGAGTGTCCCTCTGTCCCTCCTCCTCGGTCTAACAGTGGCACCCGCTTAGCATGCTGTTCCTTACCGTCTCTCTTGTTACCTGTGCTGCCAGTCACTCCTTCCTGTTTCCTGTTCTCTTCTTGTCCACCGGCCGGGTCTGTGTTGAGATACCTACTCTCCGAAGAGACAAAACTCCTTCAACCTCATGTCTCCAGCCAGCAACTCTCTCTGTCTCCTCACCTTCACAGCCAAACTTTATTTGAACAACACCTTTGTGTTGCCCTTTTCTGCTTATAAAAGTAATACATGCCCATTTTTAAAAAGCATTCTGAATTACCTGCAGTCCTACTACTTTGAGAACCACGGTTTATATTTTCTAAACCCTACGTGGTGTACATTATGGTATGTATAACATGCCTGTATACATATAAAATAAATGAGATTGTACTACATATGTGTTATCTTTGTGTTTTTTATATCTTTTAAAAAATACTTTTATTTTAAAAGTCATTTAAAAAAAAACAAAATTAGGAAGAGGCAAGACCTGAAATCCTACCATCTGGAAATTGCAGTCCTTACCCCTTCAGTTAACCTTGTGCAGACGTGCGTATACACGCATACTTTTACACCCATGGGGTCATACCAGCTGCACTCACGCTGTTTTGTCCCTGCTCAGTAGCTGTACAGCCTCACAGCCGGCTTCCTCCTCCAGCCGCCCCTCCGCCCGCCGCAGTGAGCCTCTGGCCCTGCCGCTGCACAGAAACTGCTCTTGGCAATGGCTCTGCCGGCTCGCCGCGAGCACCACTGGACGAGGCACGGTGCACGGTGACATTTGAACGTGTTACCCTCTTCCGTGTTTTCACCGCACATCTTCCCTTGGTTTCCGTGATACACGCTCTCCTCCTGGGTTTCTTCCTGCTTTTCTGGCTGCTCCCTTGCTTTCAGTGTGAGCATCTTTTCTTTTGTCTCATCTCAGAAATAGTTCTTTCCATCATTACGCTGTCTGGGCCCTCTTTGGCCCTGTTTTCCTAGATCTGGCTCAGATGGCTGTTTTCCGTGTCATGGCTCTTGCCCTGTTGTGTTGTGCTTGCCTGTGTCCTGCCCCAGACTGTAAGTTTCTGAGCACAGGGGGAGTATCTCTCATGTTCTCCACAGAGCTGTGTGGCTTAGCACAAGTCAGGCACGGTTGATTTTTCGTTAAATTAATGACTGAAAGAATTTTTTTTTGTGTGCTGGCATCTTAGACTTGGGGGCCATTAAATCTGAATGTCAAGGAAAGAGAATGTAAATTATTCAGCACAGGGTTATTTTTAAATACGAGGGACACAGTGGATAGAAACAGTTTGTACAAAATTCACTCTATGATCCAAATCCTTTCTTTCTTTTTAATTTAAACAACATTATATTGGAGGTCAGGGGATGACAGGGAAACAGGAGCAGGCTCTTGCCTTTTCCACAGAGTCATGTCCTGCCTGTCTCCCCATCCTTATTCCCCTCCACGGAGACCCGGCTTCTGGTTCTCACAGCTACAAAGCCCTACCTCAGGATCTTTGCTCTGGTTGTGCCCACTGCCTTCTAAGCTGTGCCCAGTCCCTATCTGAGTTCCCAGGCCTCACGGGGCTGCTTTCATCATACTTGTCAGTCCACATGTTCCTTCCTCAGCAAAGTGTTACCTGACCACCCCTGTGAAGTGACCTGTGTTTTTCTGCTCTTACTACAGCACCCTGTTATGTTTTTATAACACCTCTTACTATCTGAAATGATCTTGCCGTTGTATTTATTTGCTTACTTATTGGCTCTCTGCCAGTCTGGTTTACCAGTTGATCTCCTATACCTAGGACAAGTTCAGCGCAAAATGGGTATTTCCTAAGTATTTGTCAGATGATTGGTCTGTCATAAGATACGGCCTGCTTTCTAGGGCTCTACGGTCCTGTTCCACTCAAGTTCCTGGCCTGTCTCCATCTGCTGGACACCATCCATCCCTCACCTAGATACCTGCCACCCATGAAGTCCAAACCCAAGGCCTTCTGTCTCTGAAATCCTTTTTGGCACAAGGCAGCATGTAAATTTAAATGCAAGACTCTAAGCAAGTACATTGAAGAATGTGAAGACTTGTTAAATATGATACTCAAATTTGCAGTTTTCCATAGGGTGCTGAGAGAGATACACAAATATGTAAGTTACATGACTAAGAGAAGCACAAAAGTGTTAGGAATTCAAAGCCCCTTGCTTGCCCTCACTATTAACTTTATTCTCCAGGGCAGTACTTCCCAACTATGCACCTGTAGAAAATGATAATATTGATAAAGCACTCTGACCTGCATGAGATTGCTCAAGGCCAGAGAGAACTAGCCATAGGCCTCAGGCCCATTCAAGGACTAAGGAACCCATGACCCATTCACAGTGAATAGTGGCTGGTAGCATTTAGGGATTGACCATAGCTCTCCATGAGAACATTGTTTTCAGATACTGTATATTTATTTTCTAGTGAACATGTGGAAATATTCTTAAAATCTTGGTGTTTCTTTTACTTCAGAATCTTACTTTCTTCCTTACATAGTACCGAAGGGAACATGAAGTTGAAATTGTTATACTAGTATCTTTTTCACTTTGAAGAATAGACTTAAGATAATTTCTCACAGACTTTCCCTTTTTTTCTTTGTAAAGGATTCTCCAGCTTTCCGTTGCACAAACAGTGAAGTGACAGTTCAACCCAGTCCCTATCTGAGTTACCGACTTCCCAAGGACTTTGTAGACCTGTCTACTGGGGAGGATGCTCACAAACTCATAGATTTTCTTAAACTGGTAAAGTATATGTGTACTTAGTACACATATGTGTACACCTTTGTTTTCAAATTGACTTTGTAATATTTCATTGTACTCATACTACTACCTAGCTTTTATTTGGTTAGGTCATTTTATAATGAAATAATATAAAGTAAGCTGAAGGAATAATTTATTGCTTAGAATGATAGAAAATGTGTTTTATGATTATGCTTTTTAAATAATTTTCACAACACTTGTGCTTTTGAAGAAAGTCTATATACTGTTAATAGAGCTAAGAGAAGGTCCAGCTCTCTGCTGTATTATTCAGGGGGAATGTGTGTATTTGTACTCGTATATGTGTTTCTATGTGGGAATGTTTGTACAAATGGAAGAAAGAGAAGTATTCAAATACCTGAGGATAATGTGGCCAGGAGCCAAAGTGATAAACTTGTCTGATGAATTAGTTAAGGCATGTTTTTCCATGATGATTTTCAGCCATATCTGTTGCCAAGAAAATTATACTTGCTGACAGAAAAAGTGATCTTGGCTGAACAAATATCCCAAATATACAAATAATATATCTTGGTTTCCTTTGACAGAAAAGAAATCAGCAAGAGGATGACTGATTTGAGTGCCAGAGTTAAGTCCGAGGTAAAGAGGAAACCACCTTGGCATCAGAAGCCTGCTCTGAGCTCACAACTTCCTGTTACCCCACTCAGGTTGGGATGGGAGGCAGAGTGAAATCAATAGCTTTTTATATCCCTGTATATTAAGCTGGGAAAAAATGGAGGGACTTTGCTACTTGTAAAAATAAATAATAAATAGATCTTAAATATAGGAAACCATACTGTTCTGATGATAAAATACCTTCTCTGAAATACCTCACTCTTGGCTCAGTCTTTTGAGATTTATCTATGTTTTCTTGTGCTATTTATCTATGTTTCTTGTGCTACCTGTTAGGTAGTGGGCAAATTTATATTTGTTATACAGAAATGGGTTCTTTTTTAATCATTACTTTTTCATGGAAAAAATAGAACCTTCTATTACTATAGAAAATATTTTTCCTACTTTTGAGAAGATTTTCATACAATTTTTCTATTGGTTTATCTTTGGTTTGCATATAGCTAAAAATAATACAGCATTCTCAAGCTATCAAATAACCAGAAAATGCCAGTATATTACAGTTAGCTTAATATGCCGAGACACTCTCCTGTGTGCTTTTTGTTTATTGTTTTACATCCTGGAAAAATTTTAAAGAAATTGACATTACAGTTTCCCAGGGCATCTATCTAATGTGGTATCAATATTTTAATAGTTGGAGATATGTTTTTCAACTTAGGAGTGCACATTTGAATGCTTGCATAGGAAGATAGAAAAATGGAGTAGAATTTCCCCTTTCTGTGTTGTGGTTATGGCAGATTATACATAATGATGAGAGATACTTCTTTTTTGGTTATCTCAAACTCCGTATCTTTTTCTGTGGTTATAATCACTTGGTTATTAGTATTTTAAAAACAAAATACACAGATCAAATTGTGATCTTTGTACTCAGTATATCATACGCCATTTTTGAGGCCAGTTGTTTGAAGTTGAAGTGCTTCAAAATATTTTTGTTTTTTAAACTGCAATTGAGGGACTTGACTGTTAACTCGTAATAGAGGGATTTATTATCGTGAGTTGACTTAATAACCTTAGCTTTGGAAGCTGGCTTCATCAAGGTGGTACTTCACCAGTCCAAAAAAAAAAAAAAAGTATTTAATACCAACTGAAAAAAATTGGACTATAAATAATAAAAAGACTTAAGCAAAATTTGGCAAATATTTTATAAAAAGTACAATTCTTGGTATAAAACTCATTAAATTTTTGCATTAATTTCCCTGGGGCATTATTGAGTTCAACTCTCACTTTTAAAAATGTGATTTTTATACATTATTTCCCTAGTATATTTTATTTTTGTTATCTTGATGTTAATAGTAAATATAGGACAATGTGCAGGAAATATTCTCCTACATTCAAATATCATTTATGCTTGCCTAAAGATTAGTTTTGGATTATCCTTTTATTTTACTGGCATTATCTGTTCTTTTTTTTCTTTTTTTTTTGCGGCACTTCATGTTTGTTCTTGAATTTAGAAAGGGAATTTGTTAGCTTGGTCCTGAAATCCTACCTTTTGAAGTCGGTTTAGTCAAGTTGGGACAGACATGTTTACTTTGTCCTGCAGAACAGTGGCATGTAGCATGGGCCTCCAATACAGCAGACTGCCAAAAAGTTCTGTTTTTAAGCCTCATTTTGATGTGTATTTTCATAAACTTTTCCCATCTACAGAGCCATTTCTCTTAGGGTAATTGAGGATTGTTTCTGCTGTTAAAAAACAAACAGAAATGTTACATGACTGAGTTTTTTGGCTTAAGTTTTCTTTAAGTTTCTTTTGGCTTTATTTTCTTACGTATAAATTAGGAAAATAATAATCGAAAATTCATGCATTTGTTAAATGAGAGCCCATGTAACACTTTTCATATAGTGTGTCAATACATACACGCTAAACCCCCAATACATGGTAGCTATCATTATTCTGCTTTGCAGACCTCTGTGTATTAAAGGCAAGTTCTTTTTTTAATAGAATCAAGAAAATTTTGAGTGGCAAAGGACTTCAGAGATCATTCGGCCCAGTTTCTTTTCCTTTTTTCCTCCTTTCCTCCTCCCTGTGCTTTCTTCCTATTTTAACACAGCAGAAAACTGCTGCCAGAGGAGTTAAGATTTGTCCAAAATTATAGCGGAATCAGGACCACAAAAGAACTTCTACTCTAATGCTGTTTTCTAAGGGCTTTTAGCCTAGTCTTTTTTTTTTTTTTTAATTTAATTTTATTTTATTTTAATTCATGAGAGACAGAGGGAGAGAGAGAGGGGGAGAGAAGCAGAGGGAGAAGCAGGCTCCCAAGGAGCAGGGAGCCCGATGCGGGACTCGATCGCAGGACCCTGGGATCATGACCTGAGCCGAAGGCAGACGCTTAACCATCTGAGCCACCCAGGCGCCCTAGCCTAGTCTTTTTTATAGATAAGTTTCAACCAGGACAAATTAGTATTTTAATAATAGAATTTTCAAAAAATTTTTTTTCTTGAGTATAGTGGACTGGTTGACACACAACACCACATTAGTTTCAGGGGTACAACATAGTGATTCCATAAGTTTATACATGATGCTATGTTTACAAGTGTAGCTAGGAATTTTTTTTTTTAAATAAAGGTAAGTACAAATTCACGTTTGTGTGGAAGGATTAGATGAGAAGAGATACTAAATACAGAAACTAAATGAGGAAATAACTGTCTTTGAAAGATTAGTTCAGTTTCATGTTTATATTAACCAGGCTCATCCTGAGAGGTGACTTAACCATTTTTAGACATTTTAAAGACAAAATTCCTATTTAATTCATCGTTATTGTTGTATTTCCCTGTGTTGGCTCACAGAAAACAGCTTCGGTAAGTAATCTAAGAAAATAAGGAATGTTAAGCTCGCCACACACACAGCACAGGTGTGTCGTGTGTACACATGGAGAGGCTCGAGGAAAAGGAAATGTTAAGACCTAATAAAAAAGTGGTTGGGCAAGGAGTCGAGCATTAATTATCTGAAGAGAGAATGCATTCAAATGCGTCTTTTTCAATCAAGGGAAACCAAACTGAAACACCGCTGTGAGGACGGATAGACTGGTAGACGTGGGGCCACCGTGCTGCCGCAGCGACCGGTCCCTAAGGCAGAACCTTGTGGGCCGGTGTTGGGTGCTGTGCGCGTGCGCGTCCGAGCGGTGCCGGCACACAGACCGCGTGAGGGGGCGCCGCTCGGGAGCAAGCAGCCGCGGAGGTGGGCACCATGGACCCAGCCGCCTGCTCTGGTGAGCGGGGATTCCTGAGGTGGCGACAGGGAAGCGAGACCAGAGGTGGGGAGAAGCCAGCCACGTGAAGGGGGCAGGGACGCCCCACGGGAGCGTGCGCGTGAGCACACGCCGGCCCCGAGGCGGGAGAGGCGGCTGGGCTGAGGGCCGGGGCGCTGCCCGTGGCTGCAGACACGTTGAGGTTTCGTTCTTGGGGGAGATGGGAAGCCAGTGCAGGGGTTGAAGCAAGGGAGAGAACTGGGTTAGGTTTTCGAAGTGGTTTTCTGGTTTGTGTGGAAAGCAAATCGGTTGGGAGAAGGATGCCTCGTGGCAATCATGTGGGTGGCGTCGGGGGGGGGGGGAGCCGCTGAGGGGGAGCAGGCGGGAAGGAGACGCCGGGAGCCCACCCGAGCCGCGGCCTCGGGTTGGAGCTGTCAGGCGCGAGGGGACCGCAGTTTGTCTCATGGGAAACACGAACAGGGGAGGGAAATCGAGGTAGTGGTCTTGGACACGGACACCTGAAGACTGCAGTGACTCACCCAAAGGTGTGCAGACACCGCTGGATTCAGCCATCAGAAGTTGTGTGGAAGGAGCGGTAGAAGTGGGTCGGGAAGGCAGGCACGGCACACCGGGCGGAAATCAGGGTGGCTCTCTCTTCTGCTGTGTGGGACGCAGCAAAGGAGTTGAACGGTAAACAAAACAATTGTTCTTACATATTATGAGTAGTAGTCTCTCGATTTGTTAAAAGGCTTAATGTGGGGGGCTCCTGGGGGGCTCCGTCGGTTGGGCATCCCACTCTTGTTTTCAGCCCAGGTCATGACCTCGGGTCAGAGATTGAGGGCCCAGCTGGGCTCCAGGGCAGTCTGCTCAGGCTTCTCTCCTGCTCCCTCTGCACCCCGCCCCCCCATGCTCGCTCGCTCTCAAATAAGTAAATAAAATCTTAAAGAAAAGACAACGTGGGCATTTGATGTGAATTTAGAATTCTTTTTTTCTTTACAGAGTTTTGTATAAAGTATAAATCTTCACACAATAGAAGTTGACACTATATGGCAGTATGATTATTTTGAAATTCTCTTATTGATCATCATTAATTTTGTTAAAAGTCTCTGTGAACCGAATACGACTTAAATTGTATTTTCTGCATCACTGATTTTCTTGACTATTTGAGGCTTGGGTTTATTATGTATGGAGTTCTTAGGTGGATCATCTCCTTGTGGATTTATGGACTTTTAGTCAGGTAAAGACTTAAAGTGAGGGGCGCCTGGGTGGCTCAGATGGTTAAGCGTCTGCCTTCCGCTCAGGTCATGGTCTCTGGATCCTGGGATCGAGTCCTGCATTGGGCTCCCTGCTCAGTGGGGAGCCTGCTTCTCCCTCTGCCTCTCTCTCTCTCTCTCTCTCTCTCTGACTCTCGTGAATAAATAAATAAAACATTAAAAAAAAAGACTTAAAGTGAATTTCTCCTGCAAATTACAACTGCCCTGTCCCCCTGCCCCCAAAATCTGTAAAATGTCAGCACTAATTTTGGAACAACGCAAGCAGTTAGGGAGTCAACTACCCATTCATAGTTGTAAATAAAAGCAATCACTGGGAAATTGAGTATAAATAATCTTATAACCTTCAAAATAAGCTACAGCAATTCTTAATAATTTGAGGAGAAACGAATTTCTCTGAGAATCTAGTGAAAGCTATGGGCTCTCCTGAGAGTGTCATAGATCCCAGATTAAGAATCTCTGTCAGAAGCCATGTAGAATCAGATTGGAAGCCAAAGATTCTGTAGTTTTAAGAATGGAGCCATTTCATAATGTGTAGTGTACTGCACTTTTAATAGTTTCTAACAATGGTATTTTTATAATTCATTTATAGTGCATCTGTTTCAGCTTGTCAGCTTTCATAAAGTAAACTGTGTGTTAGAATTCAACCAGAGAAGCAGAACCAGTATGAGATACATATGTACATGCATATAGACGTGTATATAAAATCTCCTTATTACATGTGTGTTTGTATGTAGACATTATATA